CCCCAAAACCCCAAAACCCCAAAACCCCAAAACCCCATGACGCAAGAAAAGGGTATGGATCAGTAATGCATTTTAATTTCCATTGAAAAATAGGGTCTGATGTCGTAATTGCGAGATGAAATCAGAAATTTCCCTGTATATAAGCTGAGATTTAATACACTTTTAAAATTATTAAATTTACTATATCATGCAGTTAATTTAGAACCCTCAAAAACTGGGTATCTTAGCAACGTTGCTCACGATAACCACATTCTCGGCCTTCCAACAAGCTCAATCCTCATTCCTCATTGAAAGGCTTTCATTCAATCGTCATAGAGCACCAAAAGTTGCTCCAAAACAAGCACCTCTTACTCAACATCTCTTAGAAGATACACACCCACTATTAAATAGTGCTTTCACATACAATCTAACATGGCTCCAAAATTAGATTGTCAACGCCACTGATGATTATGTACCTCTTACTGCTCCAAGAATTCACGCCAGTATCAAGCTTGACAAAGAGAACTATAGACCAAGAGATGTCGTCTTTGTTGAGGTCCTAGCCTTCAATGCTTTGAATAAAACACCAACTGCCCTTGCTGTTCTTCCTGCCAATGATGTTAGAAATTAATATTATAATCTCAATGTGGAGATTTTCGATTCTTCTGCCAACAGAGTATTCGCCCAAGCTGTGCAAGCCAACTTATCAACTGCTGTTACATCATTCAAGCTACCAGCAAATATTTCAGCCGGAGTATACACAGTTAGAGCTTCCAATTCATTTGTTGCTAATGTGGCTACGTCATTCACTGTTCAGACCTACCCCAAAGATTCACTCGTTGTTAGCACTCAACTTACTCAAGCTTCATATAACCCAGGTGACACTGTGAGCGGAATTGTTAGAGTTACCAATACCAATGGTCAGGCCTTCAATGCAACTCCAACTCTTTAATTCAACGTAACTTACGGAAACTCATCATCCAACACTACTAACATTACTCTTTCCTCATCAAGAGCTGATGCTGTCTTCAGTTTCGTCGTTCCAAGAACTCTTAACACTTCTTTTGCTACCATTACCTACACAGTTAGATCTGGAAGCAATGTCCACGTGTACCAACAACCAGTGAACATTAACAACGCCGAGCTTCTCGTTGTTGACGCTTTCTCTGCAACTGGATACTTGGTTAACAATGTCCCCAACGTTGTTTACTTCCAAGCATGGTAAACTGCCCAGAGACAAGATACTCTTGACTTCAGCAACGCTGTCTTGAGACAATCCGTCAGATTAAACGCAACTGCCACTGGTACTGTCACTTCAGTTGTCGCTTAAGTCTCATCTGTTGCTAGAGGAAGAGGTTCATTCGTCTTCACCCCAGTTGTCAACCAAACTGCATTGACTCTTGAGCTTACCATCAATGGACAAATCGTCAGAAGAAGCATTGCCTTCGGAGTTCCCTTCAATCAAACCAGCAACACTGCTGAGGTCGCTTTCAGAATTCTCAACAACAACAGAGTTCTCAACAACAATGAAGATCTCCAACTCTAATTCCTCTCTAACGCAGCCGTTAACTCAAGTGATGACTACGTTGTTCAAATCAAGCTTAAGGAACAAGTTGTCTTCTAAGACTAACTTTCATTCAATACATCATCAGTTAGAAACTACACTGTCCTTGCTAGACTATTCCCACTCATCAATGGAGGTGTCTTGAGCGTTAATCTTTTCAGACTAACCCCAGCTTTCGAGCAATTCTACAAGAGCAAGCCAACCATTATTGTTACTGTTGTAAATACCACCACCAATGGTACTAGAGCTAACACTACCAATACCACAACAAATGCTAGTGCTGCCAACACTACAAACACCACCAAGGTTAACACAACAACAACTAACTCAACAAATGCCACCAATTCCACCAAGCCAACAGCTAACGCCACTAACACTACTAACACAACAAAGCCAACCACTAACACTACTAACACCACTAACACAACAAAGCCAGCAAATGGAACAAACTCTACTTCAAACACCACCACAAACACAACAACCACCACAACTACTAATGTGACCACCATTATCTACAACCCACCTGATGTTTCAACACCAGCTTAAGTTGTGACCTGGCTCGAACCTAAGGGAGAATTAATCTTCTACAAGAGACCAAATGAATAGTTCAGACTTAACATTACTCTTGATAGATCAGCTTATGCTGCTGGAGACTAAGTTACCTACAGTATCCAAGTCCTCAATGCCACTACTGGCAGAGTTGTCACCACTGACTCATACGTTACTGTTACTGCTGTTGATGTCCTCGGATATCAAAGACCAGGTGTAGACCTCGGCCTCCCAGCACCACTTGCCACCAGACTCCATCTCTCACAAGAAATCGCTGGCTTCGACAATGAAAGACTTAACTCACTCTAAGGTTTGAATGGAGCTCTTTCAGGTAACGATACCAAGTACATTGATCTCTTATTCGGTCTTCAATCATGGAGAGTCGGTCTTTTCGATGTAAGAAGTCTCATTCAACTCAGCAATGTCATTACTGGCCTCTCTACTTCAGATAGACAAGCTGTTCAAGGACTTTACAACTACATCGTCCAAAGAGTTGTTGTTCAAACCCCAGCCACAAACACCACTACCAATACTTCCACTGGAAACTTAACAAACGGTACAAATTCCACTAACACTACCTCAAATACCACCAGACCAACAACCAACACAACTAACACTACCACCAATACCACAAGACCAACAACAAATACTACCTCTAACACAACTAACAGCACAACCAACACTACCAGACCAGTAAACACCACCAATGGAACTTCCAATGGCACCACAAATAGTACTGTTACTCCAACTGTTACCCCAATCGTTGTAAGATCTGGAGAGCAAGGCAATGTTGCTGATCCAACTGATTACATGACTGGTACAATTGCTGCTAGAAACTGGTCTCACCCACTCAGAGCCAACTTCAACACTGCCTCAGTTGAGGATTTGACTGCCACAGTCCTATTCCAATCAGCTTTCCTCGTCAGAGCCGGAGTTGCAACAGGCAGATTCTTCCTTAATGACAGACTTACCAACTACGTCCTCACTGTTGATGCTTTCAATGCCAATGGTACCACTGGTTCAGGTTCAGTCCAATTCGGAACTGTCCAAAACTTCGCTGTTTCTGCTGATGCCCCAGCATTCATGGTAAATGGTGATTCACTCAAGCTCCCAGTTAACATTACCAACCTTGGAACAACAGTTCTCTCTGTTAGACTCACTGAAACTTCTTCAAACGGAACTACTTTCAGAGTTAATTCAGTCCCAGCCATCTCAGTTCCCGCTGGATAAACTGTTAGAACCTTTGTCACTGCTACTGCTCTTAGAACCAGCCCAGGTGCAGTTCTTACTTTCGTTGCAACTGCCACCCTTACTGCTGCTGGCTCCACCAGAGTCTTAACTGCAACCACCACAAGATCAGTTGTCATTGGTGAGCCAATTGGAGTCAGAAGAAGCCAACTCAGAGGTTCCCTTATTGGATCAAATGCTAGACCAGCATCAAACTCATCAAACCTTTCAAATGTTAACCTACAATTGAACCTTACCAACGAATTGAACCAAAGCTCATCCCAATACAGCTTCACTGTTTACCCTAATATTCTTTCACTTGTTGAGGCATCAGGAAACGCTCTTGCTTAATCACCAAAGGCCAACTTTGAACAAGTTGCCTCATCCCTCTATCCAGCTTTCCTCAGACTTCAACTCCTAAGATCCCAAGTTCAAACTGCTGACTCTCAAGTCCTAGTCATCCAACTTACATAAGAAGTTCAAGGACTTCTTGAATAACTCTTGACCTATAGAATTCCTACTGGAAGCAACTCTAGATTCGATGGCCAAGATATTTCAAATGAAGCTATGACTGCTTTCGCTCTTCAATACCTCTTTGATCTCCAAAACATTACCAGAATTGATTCAGGAATCCTTTCCCAACTCAGCGGCTATCTAGTTGCAAGAAAAAACAATAGAGGTGGATTCATGCAATCATTCAGCAACCCACTTGCTACTTCAGTCCCAGAGGTCACCCTCAACGCTTACATTGTCAACGCTTTGGCTGCTGTTAATGCTAACATTACCGCTGAGCTCAATGCAGTCAAGGCCTTCGTTGATGCCCAAATTAGCCAAAACAGAGTTGATTCATACATTCTTGCTCAACTTGCTCAAGCTCTCTTTAGAGCAAGGAGAAATACTGAGGCTTTAGTCTACGCTGATGCCCTTGTGAAACTTCAAGCTGCTGATGGAAGCGTTTTCTCCAACCAAGATACCACCCTATCAGCCTTCCTATCAAATGGAACTGAACTCACTCTTGAGACTACCTCAATCGCTATTCAAGTTTGGAGTAACAACTAAGCTAAATATATCACCTAAATCAACAATGCTGCTAACTACCTCTTGACAAACATCAATGATGGACTTATTGGAGGTGCTCAATCAACAACACTTGCTCTTAAGGCACTTAACTTGTTCTTCGCTAACAGCAATTTCCCAACAATCAATGGAAATGGAAACCTTACTCTCACCATCAACGACCTACCAGTCCAAACTGTTAGACTCGTCTCAGGATCCACTGATACCATTAGATTCGATGCCTCAGCTTTCATTGCCAACAACTCAAGACTCTTCGCTGCTGGTCAATCACTTAACATCAATGTTGCTGTATCTGGATTCAATCTTACTACTGGACAAGCCAGAGACTTCAGAGCTATCTTCTCTGTTGCTCACAGATTCATCCTCAATGGAACCTACAGCCCACCAGCTCCACTCAACCTCACTTCAGATTTCCAAGTTACTATTGTTAACTCCAGAGTCATTGGATCTGATAACTCAACTGGAAGAGCCTTCACTATTGCTGCCTCATTCCAAAATGTATTCCCAGCTGGCTCATCTCAAAGTGGTCAACTCAATATTGTTCTCCACCCACCCTCTTGCCTTGTCCTCGATGAAGCTGCTACCAACGTCCTTGCTTCCCAAGGTGTTATTAACAGTTATCAAATCATCCCAAGCACTGGTCAAGTTGTCCTCTTCGTCAACAGCATGTTGCCAGGACAATCCAAGACCGTCAATACTCCATTCGTTCAAAGATTCGCTGGATCTTGCCTTGCAAGAGATAACTTCATCTATCAGGCTTACGGAGACTTCGAAATCTACTCCTCAACTAGACTTGCCTGATCATTTATTAATCCTAACCTTAATTATTGAAAGCAGTTACTTAATTATTTTAAAATTTAACACTAATTTGCTTATTCCTATTTCTTATAATTTATTAATTGATGCCTATTGGGGTTTTGGGGTTTTGGGGGCCATACTAGCAAGATCGTTCACAGAGATTTAAA